TTTGGGTTAGTTGTACAGTTGTTTCTTGTTCTTGTTTCTGAACTAGCTACTGACAAAAGAAATCAAGATCAAGCCGAAGCCAATCGAAATCTCTGTCGAGATCAAGTAAAAAATGAAAAAGACAAACTCAAACAATGTCAAAACAATGTCAAAACCGCCGAAAAAGAGCAAAACACTGCCGAAAACGAACTTCGCAAACAAGAACAAAGGGAAACAGCAGCACGTCAACATCTTCAAAAATGTCAAGAAGAAGAAGCAACTCGGGCTCGAGAACGTCAACAAGCTGAAGAAGAAGAAAGACGTGCACAGCACAATACACAAATGTCAGAGCAGGAATTACAATTAGCCGACCAAGCATTACAAATTGCTGAAGCAGCTGCAGCCGCAATGGCACTCATCAATCCCGTCGCTGCTGCAGCCGTTGCTGCCGCTAGCAAGCTTGTTCAAATGTGGCTGGGTAACGTCAGAAAAAGCAAAGGTGATTTAGCACGATGTCAACAAACTCGTGAAAAACGTGTTCGCGTTCATCAAGATGCTATTAAAAAGAGAGAAGAGGCTTTTAAAGAATTAGAAGCTCAAAAAGCCAATACTGAAACACGACGAAAAGATCTAGCAGCTAAGAAGAAGAAATTAGAAGAGGTCAAACAAATCGAAAATGCCCAAACAAGTGTTCTCGCTACTACAGAAAAACGTCTTGCCGATCTTCAACGTCAATTTGACAATAGCAAAAAGAAAGTAGCTGATACAGACAAAAGATTAAAACAAACCAAAACTCAACTGAAAAATCAACAACAACAAATGACTACTATCAAAAGTTCAGTCGATAATTTAACTATAAAAAAGAACGATTTAAATCATCGTGGTCAAAATATCAATAAAGAAGCAGAGAATCATAATGGACAATATCAAGCAAAATTGAAAGATAAAATGACCAAAGATGCTGAAATGTCCCAATTGAAACAAAATCATAATCGTCTAAGTACACAAGTGCAACAAAAACGAAATGAAATTGCTAATCTTCAAGCTCAAATGAAAGAGAAACAAGGCAAAGAGTCCGTGATCAAGGGACGACTCGAAAATGCAGAACAATCTTTAGTTATGATCACCAGATCAATTACTGAATTACAAGGAGATCTTCGTGAACAGAAGAAATTACAAGATCAAGCAAATAGACAGAAGACAAGATATGAAACAGAAGCTAATACACTCAAATCGAAAATAGAAAAAGCTGAAGGCGATCTAGACCGTCTTGAAGAAGACCGCCGTCGTTTAGATCGAATGTTACAAGACAAAGAACGAGCATTATCTGAAAAACAAAATGAAAAAGATCGATTAGGTTATGATTTACGACGTCAAGAAGAAGATCTCAATTTCAAAAGATCAGAACTTCAATTTCATGAACAAGCTAAACTCAAAGTTGTTCATGCTCTCAATGAAAATGAGCAAAAATCTAAACAAATCGAGAAAAATATCCGAAGTATCAACAAAGAAATCGATGCAAAAAATTCTCAAAAACAAGCAGCCGAGCAAAAGTTCAATGAATCTCAAAGAGAAGTCAATAATACCAAACGTGAATTGGACAATTTTAAGAAACGTTTGACAGAAAAGAAACAAGAATACGAAAAAAGTCGACAAAAACAGTCAACATATCAAAATGAATTGGATGCTTTACAAAGCAAAAATAGTGATCTTCAGCAACGAATATTCCAAAATCAAAGCAATTTAAATGCAAGAGTATTGAATGTTCAACAACTAAGTGTGAATATTGGTATAAAAGAAAATGAAATACGAAAAGGTCAACAAGTAAAAACTGATAATCGACACGCAAACAAAGTAGTAGAAGAAGAAGATGAAAAAGTGGATGAAAGCAGAGAAGAAGCCAGACGTCCCCGCCAAAGAAGAGGCAGACGTGAAGAATACAGTGATGAAGATGAAGATCGACGAACTACCCATAGAGTAAGTGCATATGAATTTTAAGATAAATATTTTAATTTTTCTCTTTTTATATTTTAGCAAAATTATGCATAACAACTTGTATGAAATTTTATTTTTTCTTCAAATTCGTATTCACTACATCTCCATTCAAATTTAACCATGTGGTCAGAAATTCTTCTTCTCAACAACTTGATTTTGTTTTGTATTTTTTCCCATTATTAAAACTATAATTCTTAATAACCTCATAAAAAAAAGTTTTCTTGTGTTGGATTGCTCTAGTTCATAGCTGTTTCTTTGAAGAGATTAGTTAGTTTTAATAAACTATTCTAGATTGAATACAACTACTTTTTTTCACAATTCGATTGGTATTAACTCAAATGTTACGATGAGTCTATCATTTATAGATTATTTATCTATTATCGAAGATGAACAAACTGGAGAAATCATTCTGAACGAAGATCGTATAGATCATATACTTACTGAATATCGAGACCTCTATGCTCAGAGTAATCCTGACTTAACTGAAACTCAACGCAAAGAAGAAACATTAAACAAACTAGCGAACAAATTAGATCTGTTGAATAGTCGAAAAAACATGGAATATTTAGATATCTGCATCAAGGAAGAAACACTAGCGGATGCCAAACTTGAAGTTATTAACAAATTTTTAGGTTCTGTAGAATATCTAGATTACAACACCGTCGTCACCGAACAACAAAATCACGTTGAAGATGACAGAGTTGCTAATGCTCCAGTAGAAAAACCAGAATTAAAGCAAACCGGTAACAAACAAGTGAATCAAACTGTCACAAAATCCACGACAAAAAAGC